TCTTTCTTTCTTTCTTTCTTTCTTTCTTTCTTTCTTTCTTTCTTTCTCTTTTTCCAAGTTTAACCTAAAAGATTGAGTCTAACGTCTACAAGTTTTGGAAAACCAACTCCTATAATTTTGTGAGCATCTTTATTTTATTTCTTGACATTTTACTTTCAAAATGAAAAAATAATCAAAAATAAAATGGGGGAGGATATCTTAGTAGAGAATGGGAAAATATTCATTTGTTACTGATGCTCCAAACTGATGTTTCTAAATATGGGTTTTAACAAAAATTCTAATAAGTAAGGAAGTAAAATTCACTTGTGTCTTTTTGTTGCAGGTTGAAAAAACAAAGACGTGTGCAAGCAATGGAATAGACATAGCAAAATACCCCTGTGAAGCTGCTGTTTTTACCTCTCCTGCTACTGCTGCTGCTGCTGCTGCTGGTGGTGGTGGTGGTGATAGTGGTGGTGATACTGCTGCTGCTGGTAGTGGTGATGCTGCTGCTGCTTCTGCTGATGGTGGTGGTACTTCTGCTGCTGCTAGTGATGGTGATGCTACTCCTGCTGCTGCTGCTGGTGGTGGTGGTGGTGGTGATGCTGCTGCTGGTGGTGGTGATGGTGATACTGCTGCTGCTGCTGGTGATGCTGCTGCTGGTAGTGGTGGTGATACTGCTGATGCTGCTGGTGGTGATGCTGCTGCTGCTGGTGTTGGTACTGTCTCTGCTGCAGCTGCTGCTGCTGGTGATATTGCTGCTGGTGGTGATATTGCTGCTGCTGCTGCTGGTGGTGGTGATACTGCTGCTGCTGCTAGTGGTGGTGATGCTGCTGCTGCTGCTGGTGGTGGTGGTGATGCTGCTGCTGCTGCTGGTGGTGGTGGTGATGCTGCTGCTGCTGCTGGTGGTGGTGATGCTGCTATTTCTCCTGCTAGTGGTGGTGATGCTGCTGCTTCTGCTGATGGTGGTGATACTGCTGCTGCTGCTAGTGATGGTGATGCTGCTGCTGCTGCTGCTGCTGTTAGTGGTGGAACTGATGCTGCTGCTGGTGGTATTGCTGATTTTACTATGGATGAACTAGTTCTACAGAGAAAATCTGGAGAAATCAATGACCAGAGATTTCTTATTAAGGAGAGTGCAAAACATGATGGGTAAGAGCATAATATTTAGTAGTAGATAATTGCTATTGTCCTATAAAAATTCAACTTAGATAATTTCCATGTGATAAATTTTATGCTTTTACTAGAGCATAAAAATTTATTGTTAAGGATTTTATTCAAAAGGTAATAATCAGTATTGTTATGATGAATGGTTTTGTGTGTCAACTTGATACAAGCCAGAATCATCAGTTGAGGAAATTCCTCCTTGAGATCCAGCTGTGAGTCTTTTTCTCAGTTAGTGATCAGTGTGGGAGGGCCCAGCCCATGGTGGGTGGTACCATTGCTGGGCTGCTGGTCCTGTGTGGTATGAGAAGGTGGGCTGAGCAAGCCACGGGGAGCAAACCAGTAAGCAGCTTCCCCTCCATGGCCATTGCATCAGCTCCTGCCTCCTGGATTCTGCCCTGTTTAATAACCTGTCCTGACTTCACTCAATGATGAACAACAATGTGGAAGTGTAAGTTAAATAAACTCTTTCCTTTCTGGTCATAGTTTCCTTTTTTTGGTCATAGTTTATTTTATCCCAGCAACAGAAACTCTAAATAAGACAGTTGTCAAATTAGAAGAAAAAGACAATCCCACAGATTGTACAATTTTTTCATAAATAAAACTGGTAAAGAAGTCTTGAGTAATTTCATAGTATGTATAAAAACTTGTTGACTATATGGTGCAGGTGGTATGTGAATGAGTATGCTTCATTTAGTAAAACTTTATTTTATACATGTTAAACCAGAACTCAGTGGTACCATGATTATAGCTTGTCTTATTTAGATTCTATAGCTATGATAAAACACCATGAACAAAAGCAACTTTAGGAGGAAAGGTTTTTTTTTTTCTTTCATATAGTTCCATATAACAGTTCATCATCAAAAACAGTGAGGACAGGAACTCAAGCAGGGTATATCATGATGGCTGGCTTGTTGGGGTATCTGTCCCACCCAGTACCCCACAGCCGGCAAGCCCCAAAGAAAATCACACATAGGACTCCATAAGTTTATAAACTGATTGGCCCATTATCTCAGGCTTCTTATTAACTAATTCTTACATCTTATGGTAACCCAATTCTTGTCTGTGTTAGCCATGTGGCTCAGTACCTTTTCCAGCTGTCAGCTAACATGTTGCTTCTTTGGTGGTCTGGGCAGAAGTGGCGGAGGGAGCTTCCTCCTCCTTAGCCTTCTCCTATTCTGATTGCCCCACCTCTACTTCCTGTCTGGTTGATCCACCTATACTTCCTGCCTGGCCAATCAGCGTTTTATTAAAATACATGATTGACAGAATACAGACAATTCTCCTGCACCAGCAGGGCAGGAACCTGGAGGCGGGGGCTGATGCAGAAGCCACAGAGGGGAGCTACTTAGTGTTTTGCTCCTCCTGGCTTGCTCAGTTTGCTTTCTTACAAAACCCAGGACCACCAGCCTAGGACTGATACCATCCACAGTGAACTGGGACCTCCCACAAGAACCATTAATCTAGAAAATGCCCCAGAGTTGCCTAAAGGTACCCCAGTAGAGGCATTTTTTAAATTGAGGTTCTTTCCAGATAACTGTAGGTTTGTGTCAACTTGATGAAAACCAACTAGCACACACTACTTTTTTCAGTACATAAATAACACATGTAAAAACTGGACAGCAAAAATAGAAGTGGAAGACTGTATGTAGCCTACAGAGTTGGGCACTAAATTGCTACACTGTACTAAATGTAAAATAGTGGTACTTAAATAAAGTGTATTTTTAATGATCTCTTAACCTATATATAAGATATTTTGCTATGTATTGCACTGAATTTTCCACAGTAGTTCCATGTACATATTATATAAACACAAACTTTGAATCACTTTATTTCCAGAACTTTTCATTTTCACTACTGTTACACAATTGGATATTTTTAAATGTAATTTTAGAGACTTTATATATGAGTATAGCATCTCCACTATTCTCAACCCTGCCTTTATCTCCTCTCATGTCCCCTCCACAGTCCCAATTTATGACATCTTATTGTTAATTATCATTGATATATACATATATACACACATACTATACATGTATTCATACTTATGTATATAGTCTTTTGAGTCTATTCAGCACTGCTGATGTGTATTTGTGTCTGCTGCCCATGTAGAACTAGACAACCCATGTGGTAGCTTGTCCTTGAATGAAACTGATTCTTTCCTCATCAGCCATTGATCATCTGTGGTTCTTGATCAAAGGGTGAGAACTTGTGGGTTCCCTTCGTCCATGGTAGCATGGGGAGGCTTGGTTATTAGCAGTCATCTTTCTTGGTAACAGAACAGTGCAGTCTTAGCAAAGGATGAGTACTTGCTAGCGTATTCACGTTGAGAAGTTAAGATGTGGACACGAGGTGCCACCAATGAAGAGTTTGAGAATGTGGTCGTGATGGAAGCCTAATTGTAGTAAAGAAGTGCAGTTGATTCCAGAGGAAAAATATCACAAAAGGCAGCAGAGAACACGTAAAAATCAGAGAAGAATATGGGAGTTAGATGGGATTTTTCACTGGTAGCTTTTAGATTATGTTTGCGTGATGTTGGAAGGGAAGCATTCGAGAGGAATGCAGTTATTCAGCTCCGTTTGTTTGTCCAAGCACAAGAAATCTAGATACATTCTCCTTAAGGATTTCTGATGAGCTAACTGATTCAATTCATATCTTTACATGGTAAGAGAATATTTTTAATTCTGAATTCATTAGGACTGTCATAAAGCTTTTAGAGTATTGTGCAGCAGTACTCTGACATATGAATTCTCGTCTTTAATTGAACAGATGTTCGTATTTGGGCAAATTACTTGTTGTTGTCTGTTTACATTGTTGCTTTATAAAATACCTAACCTGTCCTCTATCTAACGAAATTGAAATTAGTTCAACACATTTACAGTAATAAGAATAATTAGAATAGTGCACTATAATTGCTTAGTTGATCCTGAAAATCTACTTCTAAACATTGTTGTTGAATTGTTTCCTTCAAGTAAGGAATCAAGCAATATTTTTCAAATAGATTTTAGTATTTATAAAAGTTTAATTTAGAAAAGAATTAATATTGTTTATTGCTAACTATCAAAATGCAGATAACATTATACTCTTCCTATGTAGACTTAATAAATAGGATAGATCAAACTGATAAGATATAAATAATAGTTTTATATTTTATTTTTATTTTACATGCTTATCATTTTCTTAAAAGTTATTTGTATTTTTTTTAGGCCCCGAAAGAAAACATCTAAGGAAGAACACAAGGTACTGTGAAAAGAATCTAAAGTACTTCTTTATTCACTGTGTTACATAAAAGGCAGTGAAACCTTATGAAACTCTGAGTTAAAATACATCATAAAACATAAAGTGAAAAAGTATAAAAAGCCCAAGACCCATACATATTAGTAATCTCAACACTTAAAATCAAGGTAGGGGGGATTCATGAGTGTGGGTCTGAGTGAATATAATATGAGTCCCAGGCCTGTGTGGGACTCATAATATATCTCAAAATATAAAGCAAATAAAAGATAAAGTGTAGCATGAATCCAATTGTTCTCAATAACAAAAACCCAGAGCTAGTTATTAGGGTGAAAGCTGAGAGATCAGAGAAAGAGAGCAGTCAGCCACTAGAAATTTCTTTTTACCTCCACCAAATCGTCAGACCAAAGGGATGATTCTATCTCTATGAATCCTCAGACTGAAGGCTGTCTCTGTGAAACCTCAGACTGCATGCTCAGACTGAATCCTCAGACTGCATCTGAACTTCTGTCTTCTCCCACTTTATATACCTTTCTCCTTCCAGTCATATTCATCCTGTCTCCACCTCCTGTATGCTGAGATTAAAAGTGTGTGGCTACCAAGAACTGGGAATAAACTTTCAAGTACTGAGAAACCACCTGGCTCTGTTTCTCTTTGAAACTGGATCTATCTAGTGTAATCCAGGGTGGCCTTGAACTCACAGTGATCCGTCTGCCTCTCTCTTCTGAGCCCTGGGATTAAAGGTGTACATTACCACTGCCTGGCCTCTATGGCCAACTAGTGGCTTGGCTCTGCACTCTGATCTTCAGGCAAGCTTTATTTGTTAGATTGCATATAAAATATCACTATAGTAAAGAGAATATGGAATATTTTTGTCTAAAACCATATTTTTTTAAAAAAGAATCTATATTTAAGAAAAAGTAGCTATTGAGAAAACTATCCATTTTATTTTTAAATTCTAGAGGGTAACCAAGAGCAATGACAATAGGCTGTGATATTTGGAATTCTATGGGGTCTCATGGGCCAACAATTCCAAAAGAAGAAACCTATTCCTGGCACTGGACTTTGAAGTTGTTAGTTTCTGGTATCTAGAAGGGGTTGTTTCTGTGTGATTGGGTAGCTTCATTTTAACTCTATGTACGGGAATGTCTACAGTAGTAGGTTTCCATATGCCTTTTATGAAAGGTCTTTAGTATTATTTATCCCTACCCAAGTCCCCTCCTTTATGCCACCATTTGCTCCACAACCCCACTTTAACCCTTCCTGTTTAATTATCCCCTGTAAACACTTTTCACCCATGCCTTCCAGCTCCTCTCCTTTAAAAGCACCTGGCTATGGCCCCTTAGAAATTCCCTGAGTTCTTTGGGTATTATAAGTTAAACACACATACTTGAAATTCAAAGCTAAGACCCACAGAGAAGCAAGAACATCTGGTATCTCTCTTTTTGGGTCTTGGTTACTTTACTCAGAATGATTACCTCCTATTGTGATTAAAGCAGCAATGAACACAAATGAGCAAGTATCTTTAGGGTAGGATGTGAAGCCTTTGTGTATATTGCAGAGTTATATAGTTGGATCTTATGGAAGATCTATTTTTAGCTCCTCGAGAAGCTTCCACACTGATATACATAGTTGTTGCACCAGTTTGTATCCCCACCTGCAATAAACAAATGTTCCTCCCCACATCCATTTGTAGGCATTTGATTTGTTGACCTTAGCCATTCTGACTTGGGTTTTCCTGCGGACACCACCTCCATGAGTCATAGAACATGACACAGTCCAACTGGGATGGATGGGAGCTTCATCCCTAGTTGTTTAGTTTTATAGTGATGAGAGGTGCTAATCCAGTTACTGCAGGAGAAATGAAATTGTCTACCTGTGAGCTACAGTAATGACTGACCCAGCAAGCTATGCCCACTGGTGCAATAGTGGCTCTAACATCATAGGAGCAAACAGTTACTTAGTGATTGTATTTAAAGTTTACTTCATGAGATGAAGACCATCCCAGCATAATTACCAGTTAAGAACGTATGTCTAGTTGGGTCACTGGGTCATAGGCTCTAGGGACAAACCTTTATTAGCATGTTGCTAAATGAATACACAACTAAACTGACTTCTAAAAACTCATTGTTATGCTCACCTTCATCTAAGATGCTTCTGTTTGCAACAGACAGCAATTAATACAGAGGCCCAAACCAGGCTACTGTGCAGTGAATAAGAGATTGCAGAATGCTCAACCCTGCAGAGAATACACGTACCTCAATCCCATCCCCAGTGCTCCACAATCATTGCAGAACAGGGGCAGGAAAGGTGTTAGAGCCAGAGGTAGGTGATGACTACAAGCAACCATTATTTTCTAAACCCAAAAGGGCATCTTTACACATGAGCTCACAGTAGTGGTAGAAGCATGTATAAGACCTGTGTAAGCCTGAGCCAGACCAAATCCCAACATGGAGAGGGGAGTTTGGTACACAATCCCACCGTTACCTGTGAAGCTGCTGGCAAGTGTTAGTTGCTTGGAGAGACGATTTCCTTTAAGAGGGTAGCCCCTGGTTGAGGAGGCATCACATATAAGACTGTTTGGGCAGTGTAAATTGATCTTGAAGGGTTAAAAAACAAGGACTCAAAGTTGGGTGAGTAGGGAAGGAGGTTGGGTCTGGGAAAAATTGGGGGAGGGGGTAAATATGATCAAAACATATCATATGAAACCCTTAAAGAACTAATAAAATGTATTGACATAAAAAATTTCTCTTCAGGGGATTCTTTGACTTTATTTATATAAAATTAGTAGTAGTCACTACCTTTATACATTATGTGGTATGAATATCAAAGTATTTATCTTTTAGGTAACAAAAGAAGGAAGAGCTATGGCCGATGTAACTCAGGCATCTGAACCAATCTCAGAAGATGGTGAGTTATTTAAACACAAAAATACTTAGGAGTTAATTTTATTAGAATATGTATGTAAATCAGCTGTCTGGTCCCATTTACTTTTCAGGGTTTTCAGTATTCTAGAGACTCTATATTCCTTGGTAATCTTTTTCTCTTCTTCTCCGTCTTCTCCTTCTATTTCTTCCTCTCTCTCTCTCTCTCTTTCTCTCTCTCTCTCTCTCTCTCTCTCTCTCTCTCTCTCTCTCTCTCATCCAGGTCCTGTGCACAGTAGGCACCTATCATGGAGCTACAGCTCTAACTTCCATGTGAACTTTATAATCAGCTTGCCAATTAATTCTGCTGGGAACTTGGAGATTTCAAATTTTAATAATGGATCTTTGGACTCCTCAACAAAGTTTGCCTCTTCATTTACAAAATTGGATTTCATTTTGTTAGAAATATTTTGTGGGTTTTTTATATATAAGTTTTTCATATCTTATCAGATTTATCTGCATTTCAAGTATCTTAATAAAATTGCACAATTTTCCTTCCTTCTCATATAAGGTATATTAAGAGAATATCATAGGGTGCTTTGGGAAGCTAGTGGGAATCTGAGTTAATGTGTATAGTTTGACATGGACCATGTTAAAGACCCAGTGACTCTGCCCCCTGAGTGGCCTAGTCTTCCCTAGGTGAGGCTCAGAGGGACAGCAAAGTCTCCCTCTGGTATGAATGCTGAGAGTGTGTGCAGGAAATGTCCACCATTGCCTTCTCTCTGCTGGTGCTTACTCTCTGAGGGTCGCTCCTCTACAGAGACTGCGCCTACCAAGATGAGCCAAACCCACCTAATTCAGCTGCATACACTAACCCCATCTCCCTGTTTAACTGTCTGCAATAAACACATGGAGCTACCCAAGTGCTGAGGCTTCTCCATTAGAAATCCCAGCTCACTCAACTCCAGCTCTTCTCTGTATGTGTGTCTGTTATTTTTTGTTTTCACACCATCCATAGTCAGGGTTCAGGGACATAAACTGAGGAAGAAGTCCACAGAGTAGTAGTTAGAGACTGTCATAAATTTCTTTTATGTTTCTGTAGTCTTGGGAAACTCCAAGCTGCTGGGTATCAGCTGATTGCTAGCTTACAAGAGCACAGATCTCCAAGTTTTCTAATTTTTCACATTATAGAAGTTAAGATAGTCTCTCTAGTGTAAATGAATATATATTATATATAATATATGTGTGTGTATGTAGATGTGTATGTAAATTTGTCATATAGTTGAAAAAAATTATTTCATGCAATATATTTTGATCATAGTTTCCCCCTTCTCATCTTCTCCAAGATTCTCCCCACCTCTCTACCATTTCAACTTCACGTCTTCTTCTTCTCAACAACAGTCAAATGAATGGAGATTTAAAAAATTTTAAAAAGAAAGAAAAAGCACAAGAAACACACACAAGCAAAACCCATAAAAACACCAAGTCTGAAACCATAGTATATAAGCAAAAGACCAATAATGAAAAAAAAAAACCTAATAAAGCTTTATGAGGAACACTATTGAGTCTTTGCAGAATGCTTGCTTTTTTTTCCTTTTTAAATCTTAATTTAATATTAATTCTTTAAAAATGTTTCTTAAAGTTGAAATAAGGCTATTGATGTGAAACTTTAAAAACTACCTTCTTGGGCTGGAGAGATGGCTCAGAGGTTAAGAGCATTGCCTGCTCTTCCAAAGGTCCTGAGTTCAATTCCCAGCAACAACATGGTGGCTCACAACCATCTGTAATGGGATCTGGTGCCCTCTTCTGGCCTGCGGACATACACACAGAAAGAATATTGTATACATAATAAACAAACAAACAAACAAATATTTTGAAAAACAAACAAACAAACAAAAAAACTACCTTCTTCTTGATTTTTATTTATCTGTATTTATGAGTGTCTGCCTTGTGTGTGCAGGTGCCCACAGAGGCCAGGAGAGAGTCTGATGCCCTGGAGTTGGAGTTACAGGCAGATGTCAGCCATCTAATATGGGAATCTAAAACTTGGGGTTTGGGGTGTTTAATAGGTTAAAGGAAAATCTTTTGCCTGGCGAATGGGTGTGGACACTCTCCTTGGTACTGAGTAGGCACCAGTCACAGCTTCTTTAAACTTTTTCAGATGCTTTCCTTTCAGCCTGGGTCGTTTGCTAACACGTGGTCACCCACACAGGGGTTCTCTACTGAGCTGCACTGTTCTGTGTCCTGCCCAGGGTCCGATCACATTACTTGAATCTGCAGCGTTTTTGTTGCTGTTCGATGTGTTTACTGTATGCCCGTGCATACAGACATACAGAGGTGAGAGGACAATGTGAAGGAGCTGATCTCCTCTGCTACGTCTGTCCCAGGGCCTGAACTCAGGTTACCCAGGAGCCCTCACCCGCCGAGCCATCTCTCTGACACTGATTTCCTGTTATCCTTGGGTTTGTTACCTAACCTCAGTAGCCCAGTAGATACTTTTTTAGTAAACCCAGAGTCCTGGACAGTCTCTCCCTCTCACTGAGCTACAACCTCAGTGCCGGAAGTTCTCTTTGGTTTCAGAGACAGCACTTCGCCGGCCTCAAACCTAGGATCATTCTGCTTTCAATTCTTAAACATGCTTAAGCAATCTCACCTTGATTGGCATCTTCAATTCTTTCCGTGTTTTGGCTTAAAATCCCTCTTGCAGCAGGGAGCTGGGACTTTAGGAATCCGTTGTTTTCACTACCTGAAGTCCATTGTCTTGAAAATTGCTTAAAGCATTTTATTCTATGTTTGTTTGTTTCGTATACTAACTACTAACGTTTTCCACATTTGGAGACAGTCTAGAATCCTTTGTACCATCTGCCTAGCAGCTTCAGGCACATTCATTATTTTCCTACGTCATCATCTTTTCCTCTGAGATATCTTCTTGTTCACGCTGCAGATAACCTTATGCGATCACAGAACTCTTGTGGTTTTTTAACCACAAGTATCCAAATGGTCGTTAATCTGTTTTTTTTCCTATTGAACTAAGAACATAGATCTAGTCTGTTCTTGTTACAGAATTTAGTTTAATGTAATTTTCATCATCCAAATGGTCATTAATCTGTTTTTTTCCTATTGAACTTTAAACTAAGAACATAGATCTAGTCTGTTCTTGTTACAGAATTTAGTTTAATGTAATTTTCATCATTGGCGTCCAGTCTATATCTGTCTAGAGCATAAATGAAAGGAGGTAAAAATGTACAGTTTTTTACACAGATGAGACACTAATTAATGTATTTTATTTTGTCTCTTCTTTCCTTCATCCAGATTCTGGAGGATCATTAAAAATACAGGATTCACCCAATTCCTACAGTGCATTATTAGAGCTTAAAAAAATTCATGAACTATTTAGGAAAAAAAATCAAAAACTAGAAAATGAAATTATTGCTCTACAGAAGGAGCTAATAGAAAGAAGAGAGGAGAAATTAAAGTTGGAGGATGAAATAATGGAACAGGATGAAGAATTCCGGACACTGAGGTATGACACCCTACGTTGAGAACTCTATGTCAGAGATATGGAGAGAGAGTATTGTAACTACTGGTTTTCATCTTAGATTTTCGCAGGAAAAAAATTCTGTGTCTTATGAATCAAGAAATTGTTGAGAATAATAAAACAAATTGGTAATCATAGATATCACTAATAATTAAATATATCATCTTTAAAATACCAATTTTAATGTGTGCATGATAGACATCATCTATATTGAAAGGTCACTATTTACCACATGATACTGTGTGGAGTTTTTATTGTATTGACATAAAAATAATTCAGCAAGTATTATCATTTAGATAAGCAATCTTTTACAATCTTAATTATTAACTTTTAGTGAGTTCATCAATATAAAATCATATATTTAAAATATAGGAAATTTAAAATGTCTTTGGTTAATATTCCTAGCTTTTTTCAAGTAAGTTTATATCCATTCATAATTCTTCCCACAGAACATAAAATGGTCTTATTAATAGCCTGAGAACATTTTCTTTAAAGAATACACTATTTTTTTATTTATTTTTATTTATTTATTAAAAATTCCCACCTCCTCCCCGCCTCTCTTTTCCCTCCCGCTCCCCACCTCCCCCTCCCTCTCTAGCCTTAAGAGCAGTCAGGGTTCCCTAACCCGTGGTAAGTCCAAGGTCCTTCCCCCTCCATCCAGGTCTATAAAGGTGAGCATCCAAACAAACCAGGCTCCCACAAAGTCAGTCCATGCAGTAGAATAAAAATCCAGTGCCATTGTCCTTGGCTTCTCAGTCAGCCTTCATTGCCAGCTACATTCAGAGTGTCCGGTTTGATCACATGCTTCATCACTCCCAGTCCAGCTGGTCTTGGTGAGCAATTAAGGGAGCCATTTTAGGGTTTGCAAGAGACTTGATTCTAGAGGGGTTCTCAGGTCCAAGGAGAGGTCCCCAGATTGTTTCTTGGGCAGCAGAGGAAAAGGTGCCTGAACTGGCTTGTTCCATATCCACACTGATGAATATCTTGCATATCACCATAGAAACTTCATCTGGCGATGGGTGGAGATAGAGACAGAGACCCACATTGGAGCACTGGACTCCAATGAGGAAGGAGGGAGAACATGAGCAAAGAAGTCAGGACAGCCAGGGGTGCGTCCACCCACTGAGACAGTGGGACTGATCTAACAGCAGTCTTTAGAAATGGGGTAAATTGCCCGCCCCCACACTCACCACACTCACTGGATTCTGAGTCTGCCTCCTGGTTTGCATTCCCACCAACAATGAATGAGTGTTTCCCTCACTCTACATCCTCTCCAGCATAGGCTATCATGGGTGTTTTTGAGTTTAGCTATTCTGACAGGTGTAAGATGGTATCTCAAAGTTGTTTTGATTTGCATTTCCCTGATCACTAAGGAGGTTGAGCATGACCTTAAGTGTCTTTTGGCCATTCAAACTTCTTCTGCTGAGAATTCTCTGTTCAGTTCAGTATCCCATTTTTTAATTGGGTTAATTAGAGTTTTAGTGTCTAGTTTCATGAGTTCTTTGTATATTTTGGAGATCAGACCTTTGTCTGATGAGGAGTTGGTGAAGATCTTCTCCCAATCAGTAGGTTGCCTTTTGGTCTTAATGACAGTGTCCTTTGCTTTACAGAAGCTTCTCAGTTTCAGGAGGTCTCACTTATTCATTGTTGCTCTTACTGTCTGTGCTGCTAGGGTTCTACCTAGGAAGTCCTCTCCTGTGCCCATGTCTTGTAGACTACTTCCCACTTTCTCTTCTATCAGGCTCAATGTGGTCAGATTACTGTTGATGTCTTTAATCCATTTGGACTTGAGTTTTGTGCATGGTGATAGATATGAATCTATTTTCATTCTTATACAGGTTGACATTCAGTTATGCCAGCACCATTTGTTAAAGATGTTTTCTTTCTTCCATTGTATAGTTTTAGCTCCTTTGTCAAAAACCAGGTGTTCATAGGGTTGTGGATTAAGATCTGTGTCTTTGATTCGATTCCATCAGTCAACATCTCTGTTTTTGTGCCAGTACCAAGCTGTTTTCATTACTGTGGCTCTGTAATAGAGCTTGAAATCAGGGATGGTAATGCCTCCAGAAGTTCTTTTATTGTATAGGATTGTTTTGGCTATCCTGGGTTTTTTGTTTTGCCATATAAACTTGATTATTGTTCTCTCAAGGTCTGTGAAGAATTTCTCTGGGATTTTAATGGGGATTGCATTGAATCTATAGACTGCTTTTGGTAAAATTGCCATTTTTACTATGTTGATCCTCCCGATCCAAGAGCATGAGAGATTTTTCCATTTTCTGGTATCCTCTTCAATTTCTTTCTTCAAGACTTTAAAGTCCTTGTCAAATAGATCTTTCACTTCCTTGGTTAGAGTTACCCCAAGATATTTTATGCTATTTGTGGCTATCATGAAAGGTGATGTTTCTCTGATTTCCCTCTTTGCTTCTTTATCCTTTGTGTATAGGAGGGCTACTGATTTTTTGGAGTTGATCTTGTATCCTGCCACATTACTAAAGGTGTTTATCAACTGTAGGAGATCTTTGGTAGAGTCTTTGGGGTCGCTGATGTACACTATCATATCGTCTGCAAATAACGAAAGTTTAACTTCATCTTTTCCAATTCAAATCCCCTTGATCCACTTATGTTGTCTTATTGCTATTGCTAGAACTTCAAGCACTATATTGAAGAGGAATGGTGAGAGTGGACAGCCTTGTCGTGTTCCTGATTTTAGTGGAAAGGCTTTGAGTTTCTCTCCATTCAATTTGATGTTAGCTGACGGCTTGCTGTATATTGCTTTTATTATATTTTGGTATGATCCTTGTATCCCCAGTCTCTCCAACACCTTTATCATAAATGGGTGTTGAATTTTGTCAAATGCTTTTTCAGCATCCAATGCAATGATCATATGGTTTTTATCTTTCAGTTTTTTTTTTTTAGTAAATTTTATTAAATTATAAAAGTTTACATTTCCGCCCACCCTCCCAACACCCTCCCACTCCCCCCACTCCCCCCCTCCTTCCCCTCCGTCCCCCAGGGCAGTCAGGGTTTCCTGCCCTGTGGGAAGCTGCAGCTCCCTCCCCCTCCCTCCAGGTCCAGGAAGGCGAGCGTCCAAACAGACTGGATCCCCAAAATCCAGCATATGCAGAGGAAACAGGTCCCAGTGTCATAGTCAATGGCTTTTCAGAAAGACCCCGGGCCAGCCACAGTCAGAGAATCCGGCCAAATTCCGAGAATCTGGCTAGATCACGTCCTCGTTCAGTCCCAGTCCGACTGGCCCTGGTAAATTCTCATCAGATCCGTTCCCTTGTATCAGTGGGTGATAGCATCCCTCGCAGTACTGATTTCATCTTTCATGTTCCTCCTCCTTCCGCTCCCCCTCCGGACCTCGGGGGGCTCAATCCGTTGCTCCAATGTGGGCCTCCGACTGCATAGCCGTCCTTCGCCAGACGAAGGATCTATGGTGATAAGCAAAATATACATCAGTATGGTCATGGGCCACGGCCGATTCAGGCACCCTCTCCTCTGTCCAGAGAGCAATCTGGGGGATTTCTCCTTGGACCTGGGATCCCATATATAATCAAGTCTCCTGTAAACCCTAAAATGGCTCCCTTAGTTGAAATATATTGTTCCCTGATCCCATATTCATCCTACCTCTCTCCCCCCGAATCCCCGGCCACCAAGCTTTCCCCGTTCCTCCCCTACTCCCTTCTCTCTAGCCCTCTCCCCCTCCATCGACCCTCCCACCCCCCCATGCACCCGAGGTTACCTGGGACTCTTGTCTATTTCCTACCTCCTGGTGGATAGCTAAATAATCTTCATCAGGTTCATCTTCTTATTTAGCTTCTCTAGGATCACGAATAATAGGCTCAAAGACCTCCAATTATGGCTAGAATCCACTTATGAGTGAATACATACCGTGTTCCTCTTTTTGGGTCTGGCTTACCTCACTCAGTAAAGCGTTTTCTATTTCCATCCATTTGTATGCAAAATTCAAGATGTCATTGTTTTTAACTGCCGAGTAAAACTCTAATGTGTATATGTTCCACACCTTTTTTAACCATTCTTCTATTGAGGGGCACCTAGGCTGTTTCCATGTTCTGGCTATTACAAATAGTGCAGCTATGAACATAGTTGAACAAATGCTTTTGTAGTATGTTAGGGAATCTTTAGGGTATATTCCCAAGAGTGGTATTGCTTGGTCCTGAGGGAGGTTGACTCCCAGTTTCCTGAGAAACCGCCACACTGATTTCCAAAGTGGCTGCACGAGTTTGCATTCCCACCAACAATGGATGAGTGTTCCCCTCATTCCACATCCTCTCCAGCATAGGCTATCATTGGTGTTTTTGAGTTTGGCTATTCTGACAGGTGTAAGATGGTATCTCAAAGTGGTTTTAATTTGCATTTCCCTGATCGCTAAGGAGGTTGAGCATGACCTTAAGTGTCTTCTGGCCATTCGAAGTTCATCTGTTGTGAATTCTCTGTTAAGTTCAGTACCCCATTTTTTAATTGGGTTAATTAGAGTTTTAGTGCCTAGTTTCTTGAGTTCTTTGTATATTTTGGAGATCAGACCTTTGTCTGATGAGGGGTCAGTTTTTTTATATGATGGATTACATTGATAGATTTGCGTATGTTGAACCAACCCTGCATCTCTGGGATGAAGCCCACTTGATCATAATGGATAATTTTTCTAATGTATTCTTGGATTCGGTTTGCCAGTATTTTATTGAGTATTTTTGCGTCAATGTTCATGAGTGATATTGGTCTGTAATTCTCTTTCCTGGTTGTGTCTTTGTGTGGTTTTGGTATCAGGGTAACTGTAGCTTCATAAAAAGAGTTTGGCAGTGATTCTTCTGTTTCTATATTGTGAAATACATTAAGGAGTATAGGTATTAGCTCTTCCTGGAAGTTCTGGTAGAATTCTGCATTGAAACCATCTGGTGCTGGGCTTTTTTTGGTCGGGAGATTTTTAATAACAGCTTCTAATTCCTCACGACTGACAGGTCTAT